TCAACAGTGCAACATTGAGGACGAAATTAGAGGCACGTTTTTTTCAGAAAAAATTTCTTCCTTCAGGATATAGCCACAGCACAATTATGTACTTATACCGAACCCAAAGAACGATGCTGCAAATCATTGCAGTTTATTGAACCATGGTTTATCGCTGACAGCTGTTGCATTTCCCTATAATATTTCAAACTTTTCAGCTATATTACTCTTTCATGGTAACATGAATATATTGAAATGCCGTTCCATACATGATGAACAGAAAATCATCCACGATGTGATAAATAAAGATTTGCAGGTCTTATTTCTATACGGTAAACAGATTTATTATTATTTAGTTCTAAAAAGTACGACTTCCGATTGGCTCATTGTAAATGCCAGATTTCCTAAAGCAGAAGGTACTTTTCTGCTGTGTCTGATAAATCTCATCTCTCTCTCAGACGCGACACGTTGTATTTAGTGATGTTCATTTTTGTAAACTTATCTTTTGTAGCTCTTTACTCGTTGAGAACGGGTATTTTTGTCGTTATTTTTTTCTGCTTTGCAGAAGTTGTTTACTTCAATTTCAAGGATTGATCGTTTGTTAGTTGTTATTTTTCCTCATCGCATTCAGTTGTAGTTCCTTTGTAACAAACGATCGCCTTAGTGTTCATTTTCAAATCTCTCCTGTATGACTTTTTTAAAGCGAATGAGGAAGTTGTAATTAGTTAATGCCACCGTCATGTCATTATATTCCAGTGTGTTTCAAACCTAAGGGGATATAACTAGTTTAGAGCTATACGCACATTGGTGGCACTCACATGAAAGATCAGCATATTTGCTTTCATTATTCATTGAATATCACGTGGTATTAATACGGTGCCGTAGATGGCTCTCAGGTGATAGATCATCTGAGTCTATGGTTGGCAGTACTAGAAGCAAGAAAGTAGTTTCATTTACAGGAATTATACGTTTGGACAGAAATGGCACTGGTCATTGTCAGGGAGCTTCATTTTCTTCATTAAAAGGTTCTACTAGAGTTAGGAGTCCTTCCAGCACCGTGGAAGTGACCGCGACTGGTCGATAATCCTCATTTTTAGTTGATATCAGACCGTATCGGTATGAGCCTTAGTTGATATCAGACCGTATCGGTATGAGAAATAATTTAGAACCTGTTTTTGAACAATTATTTTGAATGCAGATCTGCTATATTTCCAACAAATTAGTTCTCAAATTCGTATTTTCTTGATTCTCGTATGTAGTACAGTGCTTTGAAAACGTCGACTTACGATAAAATCTGTTTCCGTAATAGTTTAGCTTTTACAACTACCGCTCGCCAAAAAATAATGTCTTCGAAATTGTATGTTTATTCTTTTTTGTGTTT